GCTCCTGAATCCAGTGACTTTACTTGAGGACTTTTCTGTTGACCTAGGTGTACTGAGCAGTTATCCCACGTTTGTGTCTACTGGGATGGAATTTATTCACTGTTTGCAATTGATCCAGTTCATCAGCTCGTTACGCAATATCGTTAGAATTTGGAGAAAAAATCGGAATACAAGTTAGCGAAAACGTTACGAGCGCATACAATATGGGGGTAAAACAACAAGCCTGTAACTGATGCATGTTTTCCTACTCGGACGTTTAGGACTCACTTTCGATGGCGGGGATCCCGGCTGAGCAATCGAGGATGAGACTTTGGGGATATTTTGGTTGCAAGGTCGTGTTAGGAAGTTTGAAGCAGCCGTTTATGGGTGTTCACGCTCCTTTGTCAAGTGCTGGACACTTAATTTATCAATCGAGTTTGATTAAGTAACCTGCGTCCGTTTGTGCGCCGTATGGTAGTTAATGGTCGGTATCTATTACTGATATATCGGTGTCGATTATACTGATGCTGAATGGTAATCTCCGTGACGCTGATTTCGTGCTATGACTCCGGAGACAATCCTCGCCCCCAAAAGTTGAAGAGGGACTCTCATGGTAACTAGACTGTGCGTCACTTATTCTATGTCGTCTTACGAAGGCGTGTTGAGGCGGGACCCGAGAACAACAGCGAGGATTTGGGTCAGAAGGCGCTGTGTGGACTACATTTCCACACTCCGTCAGGTGTTCAGCAACGAAATGCGTATAGACTTCCTACACTTAGTATTCCTTGACTTTAAGCTCGCAATTGATTCGTCATTTCGTTATTTCTTTTGAACACGCCTGCGCAACAGGAGATGCTCAAGCAGTCCCTGAATATTATACACTATTAGCAAACTTGTGGGCTCATGAAGGCGTATGTGGTGTTCTCTAAAGGCTTTCCTACAAGTAGTGGTGTCCTTGAGGGGTAACCACTCTGTCCATTTTCGTTTAATTTTTTGATTGATGAGATAATGGGACGATCACTGGCATGTTTACCAAACCCCAGTGCTCAGGTCTCTCAGAGCGGGAGCCTTGTCGACCAGGAATATGTGGAAGACATTTTTTCATTTATGAAGAAGAGTAGGAGACTGATAATACTGAAGAATCGGGGAGGTCATCCACTCATTTGGCGTGTGCGTTGTGCCAACAAAGTTCCTAGACGTGCTACGGTCTTTGGGTGTGCGCCTGGACACTCAAGGAGTGAAATTGGAGGCTGAGGATAGCTATACGTATACCCTAATTTGCATTGGTTTTGATGGAAGTGACCCATATGAAGTGAACACATGATTCTTGAAGAACAGAATTGTTTTTCTTAATTTTCTCCACTTGTTACGTCCAAAAGGACTACAGTACGGACTGTGTTGTACGGCTTCGAAACTTGGCCAGTACTGGTGGAGAATCTGAGAAGTCTTCATGCCTTCGTCTACCGATGCCTCAGGACGATGTACAACTGTGGCTGTTGATCTAGTGTCGGTTGATCGGTTGGGTGAGCTTGGTAGTTGACTTGCAAACGTTTCTACACCATTAGCGAATATACACTCATCTGTCGATGGATTTTCAGCAACCTTATGAGTATTACATTGCAAAAGTTTCTACACCATGCCAGGGGGCGTGGTTATTGTCCAGTTAGGTGGCTGGCTGTGTCAGATGATGTCTGGTCATTCAGCTGTAACACTGTCGGTGTCTAACTGCCATGCCACCTGAGAGAAGCACGAGGGCTGGGATACTGCCATGTTGCCCAAGCCTATATAGGGAAGTCGAGAGGCAGAGCCACGGACTTTCCGAATGTTTCCCCGCACGGTGACAAAGCATACGTAGACAAGCACCAAGCTTGGCAAACACATAAGCTGTCACCCGGTCAATAACCACTTAGCCGACCCGAGGTACCAATAATTGGACACATTGTCAATGTACATTGTACTGCTACGTTATGCTTGGGTATGCGTGCGTCCGTAGGGGACAACGGATTGCGGCATGTAGTTGGCAACTCTGTAGGAGTTGGATACTGTGCATTAGGTTTTGACCAGATAGAAAAACTCAGTCAGTTTACCAAATGCAACTTTTGTAGATCGCTCGAAATCATATTTTGACGAGCTCATTTAGATAGCTATACGTCCTATGTCGAAACACCCCATCCAGTTACTTGAGTGCGTTCTTTACCACAAGGCTATATTCTCCAGCAGAATCTACAAAGCAGTAGCTTGTTTAGGAGCGGTTAGAAGCGCTTTATGGATAACTAGGCCATAAACTGAGCGTCGCATCCCATACTGGAGAAAATCCTCCCCACTGCTCCTGAGCCTACCAGTTACCTTTTCAGAACACTTTTAATTAAGCACGTGCGCTTGCTTGCTCTACCTTCACTTACTCTACGTCTAAAAGTTGTCGCTTTGACTTAATCTGTAACGCGTCTTGGAGTGGTGTGAGGATCCTCCTGTTATCGGCGTTACAATCATTCCAGGTTTTTCTCGGCGGAGCACGCTATCTACAAGGTTGCTAAGATTTCTCTGACACTACAACCGGTTTAGTCCTTAAGGCTAATCAGGTAGATGCAGTCCTTTCGACCTTTATATACTTGGCCACCAGGCAGTTGGCGAGATGTACTCATTCATATAAATGCCGGCTGAATCACGTAATGAACGAGAGTTTTAGCTAGTTTATCGTCAAAACCAAATAAGTGTGCAACTAAGCGTATTTCGCAAATATCCCCGCTTCGTTGGTTTTTTTGTTTCTTTTTGTGGTTTTTGATAGCCAAGTGGTCAAGACGCGAATTTACTGACCAGACTATCTGCTGTTCAAACCCAACTCCGACATCTAGACTACCCTTGTCTAGGCCTGGGAGTATCCTAACCTCTGTGCTTCCTTTCATTCCACCTTAGGGTGGAATGATAGCTGGGCATCGAAGGGTTGTTACGGCTGAGCAGCTGAATGATAAAAGGAGACGAGTTTGTCTGTAACCGTCATTGTCGCAGACATTTACCCTGGGAGTATCCTGGACTGAAGTGCGATCGGCGATGCTTGACAAAAAAGCGAGTACTGGCTCATGTGATGACGCTATACGCTATTATTGCATTCAGCGTGTTTGGAGGCCAGCCGTCCCTAGTAGCCGAACATCACATCATTTGGACGGATGTGTCACGTGCAGGACACGGGCCAGACGAATGCATGCCCTGATTGGTCAGAATGCCAGCCAATTCGAGTCAAGCACGTTTGACTCGACGCTTCTCGCCCCCTCACGGACATTCTGGCACGACCTAATGGAACACTGTGACTACCCTATAAATACAGTTGTAATGATTTCCCTTTGTCTCCATAAAGGACTGTGTAGAGCTACCGTGCCTTTTGATATACCATAGTGGGCGGAGCAGGAAGCCAAGGGACCGATACAGAGTTGCACCACCGTTCAGCAAGTTACAACACAGCGATTGCGTCCTATCGCCCTTTTTTTCTGATTCCGGAAAAACGCAGCCTGGACTCCAGTCAAGTCCCATCCTAATTCCATGGTAGTGCGAGTCCTCTGTCCTCGCTTGGAAAACGAACTGATCGATAGGGTTACAGGATGCTGTTCTGCATGTGGGCTCATCTGCTGCCATGTTTACTGTTCGATTACCACCCCTCCTGACCTTTTCCGCCAATGTAAACTGCTGCTAGCTCCATTATAGAACCATCGGGACAGCCTTGCTTCATAAAGGCCAGTTGCAGGTGTCGAGTAGTACACCGTAGGTGCAATTCATATAGACCATCCAGATTGGACCTATTATCACGAAATCTCCATCCAAGCTGATGTACGTTGACATACATTTCCTGGTATGACTTGGTTCTCCTTAGAGTAGTCTGTCCGCTTTTCGTCTTTGAAACATATCTCAACTTTAATGTGTTCCCACTGATTCAAGTACGTAGCGTCCACTTTTAACTAGACTGAATGTGTCGTTCAATTGTATGCTGCATGTAGAAGCCTCCTATCAGCATCTTGGCATAGCTTTGGCAGTTCCCTATGGGACTGGCCAATTAGTTATGGACGACAGTCAAGAGTCAACATTGTTTTGACGGCTAGTCACATGTGGATCGTTTTCAGGTTGTCGATTCCCGCTTTGTTCAACAGTCTTCGTTGTCGATATCTTTACGTTCATGTTTCGACGCGAGTAAATTAACGCGTTAACTGCTGAGTGTTTTCCCCAGAAGAGAGGTGTATAAAGGCCGCGGCTCCGTAGACTCACCTGTCCACTCATCCGTACTATCGTATTTGGTTCACTGGCGATTGTAACTTCTGTTTTTAGTTCCATTCCAACTGTTCGCGTCTACGCCACTTCGTGAGAAAAGTTGGCTGCAGCAATACTCGATGCAATGTAGTAGCCTACCGCCACATCGTTTTCTACGTGTGGCAAGGGCGTTTTGCATTTCCCCTCACCTGTCATGGCCTGCAGCGCTACATCTCGACCGAAGTCGAAACGAGACGAAGTTCACACGTGGAAGAGGATACAGCCACCAAGCTTATACGAAATGTGGGAATGATCGCACATATAGATGCTGGTAAAACAACTACTACAGAGCGAATGTTGTATTTTGCACGTGAGTTTCGTACGTTTTGCCATTATTCAGTGCATGAGGACGGGATCTGAGCTATTTTCACTCACACTTTGGCTTAACAAAAATCCTACTCAGGTTGATCAATAGCGGAACCGTGCAGTGCTCAGTTGGGCGTGCGCCCACTCTCATCGGTTATTCCTACAAACTTCTCAGCGTTACGTTAAGTTGTCAATTGCCGTCTTCCCAAGGGAGCATTATCAAGCATAACGAAGTGCTGTCCTACCAACACTGTTGTGGCATCCAACTGTCACCTTCAAGCATGCAACTTAGTGTTAGTTCGGTGTTTATATAAATTTATTTCTGCCTTATCCAATTTATTTCATCAATGAATGCTAAAAACAGGATCATTTTGCCCCTCTGAATGGTAGAACTGGTGATTTTCTCTTCTGAAAGTTTTCTTGCTTGTCATAGGAGGCAAGTCAATCTGACCAGCTTAAAATTTGCTCTGGACTGTAAGTTCACCTATTCCTTCTCGCCTATACCCGTCCAGACAGAACTTATCACATTGGAGAGGTCGATCGTGGAAACACTGTGACAGACTATCTGCCGGAGGAACGCGAACGTGGAATTAGCATTGTGAGCGCAGCCGCCTGCCTCTCATGGAATCAGCACACTATCCACTTGGTTGATACTCCTGGACATGTGGATTTCACCATGGAAGTGGAACGATGCTTGGCCGTGTTGGATGGTGCTGTAACTATTCTTGACGGGACAAAAGGTGTTCAGGCGCAGACCAGAACAGTGTGGTAAGTTATGCTCGTACGTTCTCATAACTCAGTTTGCGTCGCACTGTCAGATGTACTTTTGGGACCATTCCGAAGATGGAATTCCGCGCAAGACCTAAGTTGAGATGGGACTCACTGATCAGTGGACGTTAGTTGAACATGTTCTTGTAAATCTTCTCGATACAATGGGTCTTGTGGTCTCTAGGTGAGGTACGTGAGGATGGCTTTAACGTGCATCCTTGTTGAACTCACCCTGCATTTAGATGCACCGCGTGGGAATTTCGGAACAATCGAGCGCTTGAACTTTTTCACATCATATCTCTATTTATTATGTGTTGGGCTGAAGACCACAGCTCGTGAGTAAATAAGTGCAATACGACCACACTTGTTGGAAGCAAAATCCACGGTAAAATCTAGATTTTGGTATGCTTACGCAATCTTATGTGCATGTGTAATGCGAATTGTGATCTAAAAGCTTCCACAGCAATCAGCTCTATACAACTTACCTTCTTGTGGTATGGACCTCACCGCCCACTTATGCTGAACACAACTATGATAAGGTGGTGTATAATCCCCATTCGAATAACCCGATTTCGACTAAACTGGGTCCCTCTTATCCCTCAAGGCATCAAGCAGATCGTTATAACCTACCACGGTTGGTATTTGTGAACAAACTGGATCGAGAGAATGCTGATTTCCAACTGTCCCTCAGCAGCTTGTGTTCGCAGTTAGCAAGCACTGTACGCTACGTTCCAATTCATTGGCCGGTTTCTGTCCAATCGCTAGCCAAGCCAGGTGAGAATCCGTCACCTGATCGAAAGGAGGCTAAATCCGCTCGTCGGTCAGCTGGAACTCATTTCATGGGCCTAATTGATCTAGTCACGATGAAATTCTTGGTAGGTTCCTATTTCGTTTGCATTGTATTTCTACGGATAACCCTCCCCAAGGATTTCATAAATTGTAAATCACTGGACTAAACATAGTGCCAGTATATTTCCCGCGTAGTCAAAGAGGGGCTTGATCTAGTGACAGAAGGAGTTTTATGGGTATTCCACCTTAAGTCGTCGAGTTTTATAGTCTGATCTTTGAGGTTTTTTAATAAATCTTCCTTCGAATAATTACTCTAGTGAGTTCGCAATGGAACTGCTTGTTTCGAGTGTATGTACCGCAACAAACTACATTCAACTCAGTTGCACTTGACAGGCTAATTTTCTGGTTGATTGACACTCAAACGCCTGATAATTCAAACCTGTTTTTTCAAAACAAAAAGAGTTTTCAGCAACCTTCTGAGTAGTTTCCTTTATGAAAAGCAAATTAGTTGTATCGGGTACACGGTTCTAGGGATCCAAACTGACCCTTGTGTTTCTTCGTAATGTGTTGCGACCAATTTCTGTCAGCAACCCTGAAGGGCCTCGATGTGAATCCAATGAATCCTCGCTTTTAAGTTATGGCGTTACGGAGTCTGTTTACAACGTTCCGGGTCTCATGCTACAGTTTGAAAATCTTTTTGGAACATCTCAGTTTCACATCCAATCATCTTTAGGTTTCAGTCCAGAAACGGGTTTATACAGTGACATTTTATGAAGACTTCCGGGAAGTTTTGTCACGGAAAAGACGTGTACTACCTGATAACCAAACACCTTTTTTCGTTTTTTCGGGCAATCAATCTACTAGCTGAGGGAAGACTGCGGTTGAGCAGTGCTCCTCAGCCGATATCACGCATCCATCCCGTCCACAAATTTTTGCCGGTACAACATGCTACTTACAAGTAACACAGAATGGCGTCTGTCCGAAATTTGTTAGTTTCGCAAACATAGTCCGACAGACTCACAAACACTTGCAACAACAAGAATGTTGCGTATTCTTCCAGCAATATGAATTAGTGGGTAGCTCTTTCCGCCCCAAAAAAGACGTGTTAGATGAGTTAAAAGGATCCTGAGGTTAACTCGAAACTCTGTTTCATTTCTTCTCCCAACCGAACTGCTTAACGTATGCTATACATCTAATTTTCACGGTTACATTAACACAAATGAGAGCAGTGCATAAATGGCTGCCCTAATCAACTTGACATCAGAAACGCACTCCAAAGAATAAACTTCCTGATTTGTCCATTTGGAACCAAACTTACTCGAGAGTCCGGGCAACGGAAGATCCAATTCATCGGAGTGCCCTCTGACTAAAAAGCCTGCATAGTTCACGGTTAATGGTGATGTTCAAAGCAACCGTAAGCTAATAATGTTGGGCACAACATTTGCTGCCACTTTGAGACTGATAAGAACACAAACGAAGAGCTTCTCCACCACCTATAATCTACCAGCATCACCTAGACTAACAGATGCACACCACAGTACCATTTTGAAAGTTGGGTTGGCTTATTTCCATAGTCATTTCATGAATAGCAAAGCACTTACTATAGAAACATATGATAGGGTGAATCACATACACAATAGATAAAGGAGGCACAGCATACCGAACTTGGTGAGAACAGTCTCGACACTAATTGTAATGGTTGCGCCGGATAAAGCGGACAAAGGTTGACAAGTGAGATGGATTTGAGATGGTAACCATCGACTGGCTGAACAAATTGACAGTGTAGCAACTTGAGCGTCAGCTGCATGACAGCCTTTCATGCTAGATACATCATATCAGACCAGACCTATGTATGTGTAAATTCTGAGCCGATTGGTTGGCGGTCAGTCAGTTCTATCTCTCATGTCATTTGACACACTTTGCTTAGGTGTCGGCAGGTTTGTATGCATAGAATGATAATTTGACGATGGTCACGATGTCTCGCGCCGTTTTTCGGACATTCTGGCCTGTGGACATCTTGGACAAGTGTGTCTAGTTGGCGTATTGAGGCCTCACATACATGCGACGTATGCAGCTCGTGCAGGGATGTCATCATCATCATTATCGGGTGTAATAACCGCGTACTTGTCGTACAGTTTCGTTCACCGATGATTTGGGGAGGTGGGGTAGGTAGCTGCGCATTGGAGGCGGGAGTTGATAAATTAGTGCGTAAATACAGCACTGTAGGTGGACTGTTAAGTGGGGGGATTGGGAAGGGAACAATGCATTGAAAGCAATAGTTTGGATGCATGAGCGCCATTGAGGGTGCGACTGGGCCGTGTCTGACAATGTCTCTAACCATTGATGTGGCCCGTCTCGGGGTCCCCATCCAGGAAGACGGCAGTGACCAGAGCAGCTGAGTTTGCTGGTAATGGCTTTCACACTTCGCTGCCAAGTCATTGTTTGACCGCCTCTGGCTCTCTTCCAGGCTGTGCAGGGTTGTAGCTTGATTGGTGAATTCCAAACAGCACCAACACGTCCTGACCGTGGATTTGTCATCACTGGCCCATTGGAGAGAAATGCAAAGCATGTTGAGCGTCAAGTTAATCAAACATCAGTTGAATCTGACCAACGGTTGGTTTTTAAGGGTCACTACCTCCAAATATGGGAAGCCGATTCCATCAGAACAACTGAAGTTTCCCCTTCGGGTAACTCTTCTTGATTAAAAGCCACGGTAATGGCTTTAGGACTCACATTGTTAGATGAAATATTCAGTAGCCACAATCACCAGTCTCCCCAACAAAGTCGTACTTCCCGACACATGATTATTCACTCTTTGGCTGCAACGCACATAAGAAAGGTTGAGTGCCCCCAATCAATGCCGCTTGAGCTTTTTTTTTTTAATTTGAACAGCATCATCTCGTCAATACAAGTTGAAAAGGTTAACTCTCTCAGATAGCGGGACGTCAAGTCGCTTCATTATCTCGTCGATTATCAAACCAAACAAGAATCTGACACCACTTCCCGTTGAGATGCCTCCCATACAATTCAACACGGCCACAAATGGGATCCTTTGATTATTGTGGGAACAAAAGCTTGTTGACCAACAAAGGTCAAAGAATGCGAAGACTGAGTTAGGCGTCAATGTATGCCGCTTCTATCACACTTGAGGGAGATTTGTCCCAGCGGAGGTAGCTGCGCATTGGAGGCGGGAGTTGATAAATTAGTGCGTAAATACAGCACTGTAGGTGGACTGTTAAGTGGGGGGATTGGGAAGGGAACAATGCATTGAAAGCAATAGTTTGGATGCATGAGCGCCATTGAGGGTGCGACTGGGCCGTGTCTGACAATGTCTCTAACCATTGATGTGGCCCGTCTCGGGGTCCCCATCCAGGAAGACGGCAGTGACCAGAGCAGCTGAGTTTGCTGGTAATGGCTTTCACACTTCGCTGCCAAGTCATTGTTTGACCACCTCTGGCTCTCTTCCAGGCTGTGCAGGGTTGTAGCTTGATTGGTGAATTCCAAACAGCACCAACACGTCCTGACCGTGGATTTGTCATCACTGGCCCATTGGAGAGAAATGCAAAGCATGTTGAGCGTCAAGTTAATCAAACATCAGTTGAATCTGACCAACGGTTGGTTTTTAAGGGTCACTACCTCCAAATATGGGAAGCCGATTCCATCAGAACAACTGAAGTTTCCCCTTCGGGTAACTCTTCTTGATTAAAAGCCACGGTAATGGCTTTAGGACTCACATTGTTAGATGAAATATTCAGTAGCCACAATCACCAGTCTCCCCAACAAAGTCGTACTTCCCGACACATGATTATTCACTCTTTGGCTGCAACGCACATAAGAAAGGTTGAGTGCCCCCAATCAATGCCGCTTGAGCTTTTTTTTTAATTTGAACAGCATCATCTCGTCAATACAAGTTGAAAAGGTTAACTCTCTCAGATAGCGGGACGTCAAGTCGCTTCATTATCTCGTCGATTATCAAACCAAACAAGAATCTGACACCACTTCCCGTTGAGATGCCTCCCATACAATTCAACACGGCCACAAATGGGATCCTTTGATTATTGTGGGAACAAAAGCTTGTTGACCAACAAAGGTCAAAGAACGCGAAGACTGAGTTAGGCGTCAATGTATGCCGCTTCTATCACACTTGAGGGAGAGTTGTCCCAGCATGACTCCTTTCCAGCCTGATTCCTGCTTGTTGTTCTTGGGTCATGTCTTTGTGTCAATGGAAACTAAACGGCCCCAAGTGTCTCGTTACCACGTTGGAAACTTATTGCCACTGAACATGCAGGACTGGATTTGAAGCACAGAACCTTCAGTCAGTACCTCGTGCCTTTATTCCCCAGCTATATTGGATTGCCCTTGTTAAGTAGAGGATAAATCCTCACAGCAGTCCGTCAGCGATTTGATACATTACTCGCTTAGTTACATTTCGCTATCCCTTTGTGTAGATACGGCAACTTCCAGTTATTTTAATCAAAAAGCGAAAGAGACAGTAGACCTCACTGATACCACTTTTAATGTAAAGTGAAGTTGGAACATGCGAACGTGGTGACATAACACTAGTACATGAAAATAACACTTGTGTATTCGAAGCCTATGACAAATTAGATGGCCTTTCAACAGTTTTTTTAGAACGATGGCTTTTGTTACTAAACACTTCACGCATATCGGTGAACAACGCTTCGATTGAACATATCATAAAGTTTATATAAAGTGCCATCTGTCTTTTCTCCTGTTTACATAGTACAGTTTCGAAAGCAGAAAGTACAGTTTATTCATTATCCAGACATCCAGGTTTTTGGAAAATACTGGGGTTCTTGAGCTCGCGCATTGTCTGACCGCTAGTTTCCAATTTTCACTTGAACTCACAGACGTTGACATAATGGTGATCTGCAGACTTCCGAATTGTTTGATGCGATGCCGACTAAGTTAGGTGACGTAATGAACTGGGTCTTTTGAACTTTCACTTGAACTCACAGACGTTGACATAACGCCAATCTGGACACATCCGAATTGTTTGGTGCGATGCCGACTAACTTAGATGACGTAATGAACTGCGTCTTTTGAATGATATCATGTTAATTTTAGTGTTTAATGTGCCATGCAGTCTATGGAGCGGAAAATGAGCATATTGTATGACCAGTGGTCATGACTCAAATTTCCGCAAAGTGGATCAGGAACTAAAACAATGGATCCTCTTGACTGGCCCTAGAGGCTAAAGAAGGAAAGGGGATCTCCTGACCATTCAGCTTTCATGAAAGATCTAGTGACCCAAAATATTTTTGGAGCCAGTACTTTTCATCCTCTCACTATTAGATAAACAGACTGTTCTTTATTCATTGTTCTTTATAGGATTGGTCCCAGTGTACGTCACCCGATGCTCTACCCCAAACCTCTGACTTGTTACACAAACTTCACCATTCAGGGCCAGTAAGCACGAGCAATTTTTCATCAGAGTTTATGCAAACCGTGTTGGATGCTCGCATTCGGCTGCTGGCGGAACTTGCCGAAGTGGACGAAGAATTAGCCGACCACTTTTTGGCGGTGGATCATCCAGAACACCTCATGCCCTCGGAGCTTATTCAGTCTGCTTTGAAACGAGTAAGTTTTCAGTAAATGTTGGTGACTTATGGATTTTACACCCCTCTGTGAGAGTCCTTTCCAGAACCCTAGTGTAAGCAAATCGCGGATCGACTTTCTGAGCCAGCCGCGGGCTGGTTGAAACACATCCTTCTTTTAGCTGTAACTTGTTGTTCATGAATCCTTTGGATCTTCCTGTTTCTCTCACTTTGTCAGCCACGTAGGTTACCTTTGTCATTTGTGTCTCCATCCCTCGTTTACTTTGGGCTTGGTCAATGGAACCATTTCGAATTGTATCCTATAGTACTAGTATTTATGCACACTCTGATGACGCCTGCAACGAATTGGATTTCATTGATATGCATGTGATCACGATGACACAAAGGATGAACTACACCTACTCAACCTGGTCAATCAGTCACGTGATAAACTATGTTCTCAATTATTGTCTATAATGGTCGTAGCAAGGCAGACACACTGTGGGACAACTTCTCGTACATGTTGGTCGAACACTAGCTGTCGTTTTTCAGTTTAACGTGGTTGCGATCAAGCTGTCACTGACGGCTATCAACATGTATGTTGCATCCTTCCAGCTCCTGCTTTTCAGTGGCTTCCAGCTCACACACGCACAACCGGTTCCTGATCACATCATAGAAAACGCCACAATGTTTCATCCCCACCTGTACTATCTTCTGTAAGAAGTAGGAAATCTACCGAGCGTGTTTATTCGAACTGTATCCGAGTTTTTTCGGAAACGATGCATTTTTCCATGCCCCTCTCAGGAAGGACAACCCTTCAGCTCTCGGGTGACCATCGCTGATTTTTCTACATTTTCTTACTATTCTATGAAATCTTCTGGTCAATTTATTTCCGCTTTCTGCATCTTGGTCCGGTGTTCCCACAACAAGTCACGAGTAACGCGAACGTGGCTTAGCGCTTCATATATGTGGTGGAATGCTTATGTTGCTCGTTTCCTTCATTGAAATCTCTGACACATTCCAACTCTGGTCTTAATCGAAGTATGAGATTTTAATGTGATTTTTTCAGTTATCACTTTACTTCTCGTTCTTTAATTGACCCGGCAAACCTGTCTATACAGGCCACCCATAGGGGCCAAGTTATTCCTGTACTTGTTGGTAGTAGCCGGCAGAACATTGGAATACAACCACTTCTGGATGCAATCGTTGACTACTTGCCGAACCCAACCAATCACAAAGCACCCGCTCCTGTACAACGACTCATTCATCAAGTATGGTCCATGTACTCACACTCAAGACCTCCAACAGGATTTGATCTTCCGGTGGCGGATTCTGCCCAACCACCCGTGTTGCTTGTTTTCAAGGTTTGTTTTGATCCTCACCGTGGACCGCTAAGCCTTGTCCGGATCTACTCGGGCTCCGTAAAGAAAGGCAGTCTACTTACCAACTGGTCACTGAATCGGACAGTTCCAATAACAGAAAAGGTAGGTTTTCTCCAGACAGTCAACTTAGTTCATTTACACTTCCTGTTAGCCTCTATCAAGCATGGATTTTCTCCATTTTCCGTACTGCCTCACTGGTAACGGCCACTTTAGGTTCCACAGTTACACTATATGCGACACTGCAGAGTGCCTTTAGATTCTCAAGAATGATTGGTAGATTCCCTTATGAATACTTTTGCTTCACGTCATCAGGTATTGGGTGTGTTCCAAATGACTGGCGATCAGCGTGAGTCGGTCGACTGTGCTACGACGGGTAGTATTGTTGCTCTAGCGGGTCTCGAATCTACGCACAGTGGCGATCTACTTGGTCCCGTACGGAGGACTAGCACATCGAACAAGGATTCATCGATCGACCAAAACTCTAGCGAAGAAGAGGATCATGATGTCTGGATCAATAGTCTGCCGGAGTTGAACAAGTGTGAACCAGTCGTTTATGCTGCCCTAGAACCCGGAAGCCTATCAGCTGTGCGTCCCTTGGAATACGCTCTAGCTTGTATGCAGCGCGAGGATCCTAGTTTCACCGTGAGTTGACAGATATAAATGTTTTGTGCACCCCTGTTGAGACTGGCGAGTGTATACCAATTTTGGTATACCCCATATCGTTATGTGAAAATGGATTCCCTCCAGTAGAAGCTGCAGTTTCCGGTGCCCCGTTGAAGTAGTCTCTTTTATGTCTATCGTTTTTTTTGTGTTCAGGGCGTAAAAATTACTGTGGCCGTATTTGACTGGGTTGACTTTGAATTGCTACCCCAGTCCGATTATATATATATATATATATATATATATATATATATATATATATATATATATATATATTATTCAACACAAATATGAATATGAATAAAAGCATAGCATCTTTACAAATTTCGGAATATCACATTTTGGGATTCATACGCAGACAGTGCATCAGTAATTCCTCAATGTGTATGGATAGGTTTTTCTTGTTCTGTTCTTCCAACGTTGTTTGAACCAGTCGACAGAGCTCTAATCTTCACTCTTGCCTCCTATCTGTGGTAATGGCCCTGGATGCAATTCATATTGGACACAGTGGCTGTCGTAGCCATGTTTTTAAATCCACAACGAGTTAGGTGACATGAATAAAGCAAATAAAAAGAAGTTGAAAAGGATATGACTACGGTACTACCGCTAAACACGCCGAGAACAGTACTGCTGAACGGAGTTTTTGATTCCACAAAGCGCTGGAAACACGCGTAACACATAACTGAAGGTGATGAATGTGCCATTGTAAAATATCCTTTGTAATTTTGTAACCCATTAACGGTAGTTTTTTTCAGGTGCATATACCGGCACAGTTGTAGAATAGTGATCCTGTAATCAGAAAAGTAATGACCATGGAGAAGTGCACTATGGTGAAAAGTTGAGGAGATATGTGAAAAACAATAGAACCAACTGGTCGGCACGTGGAATAGATCGATTGGATGACTTGGTCAACAGTAGGATTACGGCGGACGCAGACCTCATAGGGAGCCATCAGTCGGTCGGGGGAAAACGGACTCAGTGTGACGAGATGATTTCATGCGGAATTCAAGCGGAATCAGAAATTTGTCGGGCAATACAACCCCACTGTATTTCAAACCGGTTCGGTATGACGGTTTTTTTCACCCCAACGGCTGCTTTCTCGTGAGCTCCTCTTACTCTGTCTTTGGGCCGTTGACTATACTATTGGGATTCTGTTCTGTGTAGAATTGTAGCCGCAGTATTTAAGCTTTTCATGTGCTTCGACTCGTGGCTCAGTATAAGTGTACTTGTCTGTGAAAATGTTTGGCCTTCATACACGGCCACGTGTGCAATCTCGAGGTGAGTGCAGCGGGGATGTCGAGAAGAGGGCATGTGTAAAAAGCACAGTTTCACGAGTCGCCGTGCCAATGGTGTAGAGGTTCATCGGTAAACCCAAAACAGATCTAAACTCATCGTTTGGTACCGACACCAGCATTACGAACGCCCACCTGCCATCAGCAATACAGTCAGTGTAGAACCATAAAACGGTGTTACCAAGGGCAAGTCTTAAGTGGTTCAAAACCAACCAACGATTAGTACCCCATTAGATGGTGAATTCAACTACCCTTTTCCCGGCTAGTAATTGCTGATGTGTAGGATTTGTTGGCCAACACAGATGTGTGAAGTGTCCCCCGTAGAGATTTCTCCATACGTCGAACGTTTCTGCCTCCCGTTGTATTCTCATGAATTTATTCAAGCCGATCTGTTTCAGAATCTTTTCCGGTTAACAGGAAATTGTGGTGTCTGT